ACGTTGCATTTCGTATTCTAGCAGCTGAAGGGACGTATACTAAAAATTTGGAAAAAAAAGTTTAAAAAAAAATTTGAAGTTTCTGATGCCGATATCTCTTTGTAAAATTAATTAATTAACCTTTTCTACATACTTAGCCGTGGACGTTTGTTCTGATATCTCGAAAACAGACATGCGTTTGAAATGATTCCTGATAAATTTTTCGACTAGAGGTGAGTTTGAAACCTCAAAACGCGTCCTATACGAAATTTTAGTATCGGCACTTCTTACAAACTAAAAGCTCGATACTTACTCCAATTGCTCATAAATACTTGCATCTGCTTCCACTACACCTTTTAAAACAGTATTTCATAAAAACACAAATGTATTTCAGAAAAGGCCAAATGAATTTCAGAAAAAGTCAAATATATTTCAGAAAACCTCAAATGTATTTCTGAAAAGGGCAAATGTATTTCAGAAACGCTCAAATGTACTTCAGCAAAAGCCAAATGTATTTCAGAAAAAGCCAAACGAAATTCAGAAAAATACAATTGTATTTCAGAAAAGTTCAAATGATTTACAGAAAAACGCAAATGTTATTCAGAAAGGGCAAATGTATTTCAGAAAAGCACAAATGTATTTCAGAAAAATATGTTTAGAACACCGTTGTGCTTTTCTGAAATTCATTTGTGTTTCTCTGAAATACATTTGCCCTTTCTTCGCCGAGTAATGTTGTTGTTGTAATTCCTTTGTAATTAACTGAAATGGTTTTTATTTTTGCACTTTTCTTTTTGTTTACTTCTTTTAGTAATTCTTGTCACAGCTGTTTGCTTTGCGTTTATTAAGTGTCATAATACAGTGATACTCAAACTGTTCGCTACATGTATTCTAAAACTAAATACATCAGCTCCTAATCTGTTATAATTTATTTTGTTTGCTTTTTATTGCCATAATTGTTATTAATTTTTTACTATGAAGTGTGATCTTGATAATTGCCAAATTAAAAGCGACTCTGAACGCTACTTATCGTGCTGGCTCTGTGATGGCATTTGCCATTTAAAATGTGCTGGTTTGACAGGTAGACTTCTGGACGCTATTATTGATGGCAAAGGTCTTCGGTGGTCTTGCTTAAAGTGCAGGTCAAGGTTTAAGTTATTTAGGCAAACCAGAAATGGTTTTTCTGAGGTGGGGAGAGAGTTGTTGGTACTGACCGAAAAATTTAAGCATTATGAAAATGTGTTTAAATCTTTTAAATGCTTAGATACCGTACAATATATGAAGTATATTCGTGTGGCAAAACGCAAGCGTCTTCATAGTCCGCCTAATGAAATGATAATCGCTCCACGTCAAAACAATCTTCCGAATGACTTAATTAACCTCTCATCTCCTTGTCCACAGACATCGGAGCCGTCATTCTCAAAAGATTGTATAACAAAGTCTGATTCCGCTTCTAATAACAACGAGCCTGAAGTATCTTCCCCTTCCCGCGTTGAAGATGTGTAACGCTTACTCTACCCTCAATTATTTAGTAACTCAGTTACTCAACCCCTTCCGCCGGTAATCGAGTCTAATACTAGGAGACTGGTTGTGGTTCCCCCAACGAAGTCTATATTTGTCTAGATTTTCGAGGGATACATCCGAAAACGATATAAAGTTTTACATCTCGTCCAAATTTAATAAAACTATCAACTTAATTATCAGAAAATTTAATTTTAAATATGAAAGAAATATTTCTGCATTTAAAATTGACGTAAATTTAGGAAACTTTGACATGCTGCTTAGTAGTTCTTTTTGGGCTTCCGGAGCTTTCGTTCGTGAATTTGAGTATAGGCTCAACAAAAATAATAATTTGGCAAGTATTCCCCGTCAGAATACTGAATCAAAAAACTAATTACTAAAACTGCTTTAAGTATTTATTTTCTCAACCCAAGAGGCTTAAATACTAAATTTGGCAAAGTATTAGATCTTCTTTATGTTAATGATGCATCTAAGTCCGCTGTAAATAAATGTGACCCACTAGTTTTGCCCGAAGATGTCTACCACCCTTCTATTGAGATATCTTACGAAATTATAAACGATGGTCAAAATCCCGGTATCAAAATATACGAACCAAATATTCGCTTTGATTTTTCGAAATTAAACTTTAAAAACTGATTAAAGAATTGTCTAAATTGTCGTGGCCTAGATACAAAGAAAATTTTGAGCAAAGCGTCGCACATTTTAATTTTACTGTTGGCTCAGTTTTTTAAATCCAGTCACTCTATTAACTCCCACGCATACTTTGACTATCCTTTTAAACTAAGCCCAATTGACTCAATATATACCCCAATAATATATCCCGATGATGTATTAGTTTACCTGAAGTCCTTAAAGCAGTCTTTTAGTTATGGTCCTGACCAGATCCCCACTTGGTTTCTTATAAATTGTGCTGATTATCTCTATGAGCCGTTAACAGCCTTATTTAATTTATCTCTTAAAGAAGGCATCTTTCCAACCATATGGAAGGAATCGTTCATAACCCCGCTACATAAAAGCGGTAGCAGGTCCTCGGTGGAGAACTATCGGGGCATAGCTAAGCTCTCTGCAATTCCTAAATTATATGAAGCAATTATTACAAATCAGTTGACGCATTCTATCTCCTCTACCATTTCATACTGTCAACATGGGTTTTGCAAAGGCAAATCAACTTCAACAAATTTACTTGAGTTCACAACCTATATCTCAAAAGCGTTTAGTGAAAACAAAAACCCACCCCAACGTACACGAGAATGCATCCGTTTTAGGAATTTTAGCAACACTTTCGCGTACAAAGCTATTGAGAACGGGTTACGAAAAAGTATCGTAAAAGTATTACCCAAGGTGTAGTAAACAAGGTGGTGTTGGGGCGACAGCTGAGCTTTTCGCCGTGGAGGACACTACGTCAAAATGACGTGTTTGTTGTAACTCATACCAATGACAGTATGGACATCAGCGTATAATTTGTTAGTGTAATTTTTTACTTATATACGGCCAACACCACCTTGTTAAATACGCCTTGGTATTACCTGTCGCTCAGTTTGTGGCAGCAGAACTCTCGTTCTCGACACGCGTTTTCAAAAGGTTTTTCGAAGTGTTTTCGATAGTAGAAACGTATCTCTATTTCGCTATCGAGAAATTAATGAAAACGGCAATGTTTTCGATCCATTCGATTATCGAGAAAGTAACGAAAGCGTTAGAAGTTTGTTTCGATTTACTCATCGAGAATGCATCGAGAGAAGAATCGTAAACAAACATTAAAATGACTAGTTTACGATAATTACAGCTGTTCCATTCCAGTTTATTTCCATATTTAACATAATAAAAGATTACATTAGTTCAATTTTCTCGTGTTTCAAAACAAAAATTAGGTTTATATAAATAAACATAAATGTTATTGTTGTGTACTGGAATGCTTAATTAATATTATTACCATATGTAAACTAACTTTTGCTAAGTACTGTAGTTTTTACTTTTCTCTTCTACCTATTTTGTACAAATATGTATGTATGTAAATTTGTACAAACAACATTCGATTTAACTGGACTCGATGAAAACTACTAACGGCAGTGCTGAATTGAAAGTAAAGTAGTATATAAAAATGCAATTGAGTGCAAAGAGTTAGTTGTTACTTAGCCTTCAGACAGCATAAAACGCGTATATTAAATTCAAGCAAACTGGTGTTTTATTCAAACGCTCGAGGCGATTAGGATTCTTACGTACTTCGGGGTCGTGAAAACTATCACGTCCTAACATTTTGGTGCCGAAACCCGGGACATTGGTCCACTGTATGTAAATTCAAGATAATTTAAAAATAAACTTCATTGGAAGTCCACGCGAAGTATAAAATTATTCGTGTCGCTCGTAAAAGAAGGCTAAGGTCCGCGATCGCGAACAATATTTCATAACGAGTTCGATTAAAGTTGAGTTTATTGGTACATAACCATAAACTTCGGTTAGCAAAAAACAGAGAACGTGTCTTTATCAGCCGCAGCTACGTAACGCAGCAGCGTACACATCCCCGGATCAACATAGAAGTAATCTTCTTGGCCAGCACAACTGCATCGAAAACTGCGTGAGAGAACAATTCTGAGAGAGGTGGTGAAATTGCTATTGAACTGTTCCAAAATGACATCGGACACCGAGAAGGAGGAAGTTGCGGCCGCAAAAAGGAGAGTCCAAAACTAGTGGAGCTGAAATCGTTACGTGCGTCAACAAAGGGCAACATAACACGAATTAAGAACCTGATAGCGAAGAAAGGTTCTTCCTTGCCCGAAGAGGAATTGGAGTGCAGGCTTGGTATTTTGGAGCGTACTTTAAGCAAATACTAAGCGTTCAGGCCAGCATCGATAAGATTTGTCCAGAAGCGGAGAGGGCGTCCAATGCTACCTTCGTAGGTGACGTAGAGGAATTATATGTCAGTGCTAAGTCAAACATTATGTCACTGATTCCCAAGCAACGTCCTGCTCAAGGGGAGGCAAGTTTTTCGCAGACTGCATCGTTTTCTGCACCCGCGTCAAAGCTACGCCGTGAAATTAAAATTGCTAAGTTTGATGGGAAATACGCTGAATTCCCCAAATTTATCGCTTTATTTACAAAAATGGTGATCAAGACCAAACCTTGGATAACTGCGAGAGGTTTTTGATACTCAAAGATAGTTTGGGTCCAAGACCACTTTCTGCAATAGCGGAGTTCGACGAAACGGATGCAAACTACCCGAAGGCATTGGATCGTTTAAAGTTGATTTTCGATAAAAAAGCGCTTATGTTTCAGGAACACATTGCAGCGCTTTTTGAAATGCAAAAGGCCACCAAAGGGTCAGCTGGGCATTTACGCAAAATAATTGATACCACTAACGCGCGTTTGAGTGCAATGCTGTCGCTGGGCAACTACCAAGACGTTACTAATGCCCTCATAATATACCTGGTGATGGATAAACTGGATGCTGAGTCCCAAACAAAATGGGAGGAATCTGTTGATTATACACGGCTGCNATATACCTGGTGATGGATAAACTGGATGCTGAGTCCCAAACAAAATGGGAGGAATCTGTTGATTATACACAGCTGTCCTCATGGGAAAATTGTTCAGAAATACTATCAAGGCGATGTCAAACGTTAGAAGCACGGGAAACAAAGATTTCTCATACCGATTTGAAGCAGACTATAAAGGATGTCCATCGGGACTCCAAGCCAAAGACATTCTTCGGTAAGCGTAATACGTCAACGGCACTGGCTATTGAGCATACATCTTGCAGCATTTGTCACAAAGGTGGTCATGAGGTAGTGACTTGCCCGAGATTCACGCGAATGAGCTCTCAAGAGCGCTACTCTGCGGCACGTGCCGCCAAGCTATGTCTGGTATGTTTGAGAAAGGGTCATTGGCTAAAGCAATGTAGCGCTGCGAAATGCACAACATGCAATCATTCACACCACATATTGCTTCATAGGCAAGACGACACAGGACCCGTCTCGAATGAAGTCAGCGCGTTGGAGAATAAGGAAAGCAGCTCATCAACTAAAAAAGTAGCACTATATACGAGTTCCAGTACCGCAGTTGTGCAAGAAGTTTTCTTGGAAACTGCAGTTATACTGGTGAAAGATACGGGTGGACGTTATCATCCGGTGCGTGCCATTTTAGATTCAGCGTCGCAAATTAACCTTATGTGCGACTATTTGGCGCAGATGTTAAGGCTGCCAAAGGCGACATGCCTGCTTGAACTTAATGGCGTTAGTGGAGTACGAACGAGCATAACAAAAAAGGCTCATACAGTGATAAAGTCACGCGTCAACAACTACGAAGTAGCATTGCAATTTTATATATTGCCAAAGATCACATCAAGAAAACCTGATCAATATGTCAACGTCTCCACCTGGAATATTCCCAAGAATGTTGAGCTTGCGGATCCACGCTTTAATACTCCGGCACGGGTGGATATGTTGCTAGGTGCAGAAATATTTCTGGAGTTGCTGTGCGTAGGTCAAATAAAGCTGTTGAACGGTGTACCTCGATTGCAAAAAACGGTATTTGGCTGGGTAGTGTCCGGTAGCACACAGATAGTCGAAGGTGATCGCGTGAGGGCTCAAAGCCTTGTAAGCGACGTAGTCGTAACGGAACAGCAAGACGAAAAACTTAACAGCTTGGTGGAGCGATTCTGGGAGATGGAGCAACTATCGACGAAGTCTACGTTCTTAACTGACGAGGAAGCAGAGTGCGAGCGCATATTTCGCGAGAGCGTGCGCAGAGATGACAGCGGAAAATTCGTCGTAAAAATACCATTTAAGAACAACGTTGATAAACTTGGAGATTCGTTTTACACAGCTGAGCGGCGGTTTCTGGCATTGGAAAGGCGGCTTAATAAAGATTCAGACACCAAAAAAGCATATGCTGACTTTATTGAGGAGTATATAAAACTCGGGCATATGGCAAAGGTAGCGGCAGCAGACCTTGAGCAGCTGAAGTATTTTTCGCCTCATCAACATGTGTTACGCCCGGAGTCCACGAGTACAAAACTTCGAGTAGTTTTTGATTGTAGTTGCAAAACTAGTAGCGGGTTGTCGCTCAATGACGTAATGATGAAAGGGCCAGTTGTACAAGATGATTTGTTGTCGATAGTGCTGCGATTTCGGTGCTTCAAATTTGCGCTTACAGCTGACGTAACAAAAATGTACAGACAAGCATGGGTTACTGCCGAAGACTGCAACTATCAAGCGATTTTGTGGAGAAACTCCAGCGATGAAAGGCTTGCAGCATATCGACTGCTGACGATAACTTATGGGACAACGGCAGCGCCTTTTCTAGCAACTCGTTGCCTGCAGCAGTTGGGTGAAGATGGTACGAAGCACTTTCCATTGTGATCGAAGAAAATACTATCTGATTTTTACATGGATGACTTCATCAGCGGAGCTGATACAGAAGCAGAATTAATGCAAGTCTATCGTGAGGTATCAGCACTAACAAATTCAGCGCATTTCACACTACGCAAATGGCATTCAAACAATGCTCGTTTTATGCTGCAGCTAGACGAAGGTGAAAAGGAGAAGCCAATACGAGTTAACGATGTCGAAATCATTAAAACTCTTGGCATTGTTTGGGAACCAGGAGCGGACCACTTCAGGTATGTCTGGCCTGAGCTACCGTCCACAAAAAACGTAAACAAAAGGGTAGTGCTAGCAGAGTTGTCAAGTTTATTCGATCCGCTGGGTCTCCTGAATCCGGTCATAGTAAAGGCGAAAATCTTCATGCAAGACTTGTGGATCAAAAAATTGGCATGGGATGAATCACTGCCAATGCACCTGCATAACCAATGGGTCGAGTTTCGAGAGAGGCTCAGTGCGATTCGAGAGGTAAAAGTGCCGCGCTATATTCTAAGCGCGAAAAAGCATGTACGAGTAGAGATGCACGGGTTCGCTGATGCATCACAGCGGGCTTACGGCTGCTGCATCTACGTGCGATCGATCGACGAAGATAATGGTGTAACCGTGCAATTATGGAGCGCCAAATCGAGGGTTGCGCCCCTAAAAACAAAATCACTTCCTCGGCTGGAGCTTATGGCAGCTCATCTGTTAGCTACATTAGTAGTGAAGACGCAGCAGAATTTTCGAATTCAACCAGATGCTCTGTATCTATAGAGCGACTCCAAAATTGTGCTGGAGTGGCTGAGGGCTCATCCATCAACCTGGACAACTTTCGTCGCTAACAGGGTAGCCTTGATACAAGAAGCAACTAAATCAGCAATTTGGAGACATGTTCCTTCTCGGCAAAATCCAGCTGACGTTATATCCAGAGGTGCGTATGTTGATGAGCTACTAACATCTTTTTGGTTTGCAGGGCCAGCTTTCTTAATGAAACCATGCGACCAATGGCCTGCCAACAAGTTGTGTAGCGTACCCGAGGAAGACGTAGAAGAACGCCGTAAGCAGACGACGACGCTGGCGGCCGAAGTAAAGAAAAATTCCTTTATCGAGTGGCATGAAGGGAGAAGTGATTACGTCCGAACACAAAAACGAGTGGCGCATTTTCTTTGTATTTTTCGGCGAATAAAGGGTCGTCACGACAAACTTCCGCCTCTCACAACAACAATGCTGGATGAAGCGTTGATTCGCATAGCGTTCTGCCTACAAAAACACTACTTTAACAACGAGTACAATGCACTAAAGCGCGACGGTGTGGTGCCGTCAACGAGTAAGGTGAAGTGCTTGAGCGTTTTTATTGAGAGCTGCTATGGAGTGGATATACTGCGTGTGGGTGGTCGCTTGAAAAACGCAAAGTTGCCGTACGATGAAAAGCATCCGATTTTGCTACCTGGAGAGAGTAACTTCGTTCGCAGTTACATACGCTATGTGCACGAAAAGCATATGCACGTAGGAACGCAAGCCTTGATGGCGATAATGCGACAACGATCTTGGATTGCAAAAGCTCGAAAGGTGGTGCGCTCTGTAACGACTTGATGCTTGCAGTGCTTTCGCTGCCGACCGAGGCTTCAGCAGCTGATCATGGGTAATTTGCCGACTGAGAGAGTTAGTATGGCGCGACCGTTTACAACTGCTGGTGTGGACTTTTGTGGTCCGATTATGACGACGTACAAACAAAGAGGAATGCGCACTACTAAAAGCTATATCGCCGTCTTCGTATGTTTCGCGACGAAGGCCGTGCATATGGAGGTGGTTTCTGATCTGACGGCAAAGGCATTCATTGCAGCGCTAAAAAGATTTGTCGCTCGCAGGGGTATATGCGCACAGCTTTTCTGTGACAACGGCACAAATTTTGTTGGTGCCCGTCGTGAGCTGCAGGAGTTCAGAAAAACATTTTACGAACAACAACAACAAGGCATGATTTCGAGGTATTGTGTCGCAAATAACATCGATTTTCGCCATATACCGCCGCACTCACCCCACTTTGGCGGCCTCTGGGAGGCGGCGGTGAAATCCGTAAATACCATCTGGTTCGCATCCTAGGCGAAGCGTTTCTAACATTTGAGGAGCTATGTACTGTGGTCGCAGAAGTCGAGGCCACGTTAAACTCGCGGCCCTTGACTGCAATGTCTTCCGACCCAAGCGACGAAGCTGTTATTACGCCGGGACATTTTTTGACAGGTGGGCCGCTTGTTGGAATTTTGGAACCTATTATCGAAAGCGAGCATATCTCAAACTTAAACCGCTGGGTGCGACTAACGGCCATAAAACAACACTTTTGGAAGCGTTGGTCATACGAATACCTGTACGAGTTGCAGCGAAAGACGAAGTGGACGGCGAACAAAGAAAACGTAGTTGAAGGCGACTTAGTTTTGGTGTCAGAAGACAATGCACCACCTAAATCATGGTTAATAGGAAGAGTAACGAGGGCCATAAAGGCTGCTGATGGGTATGTGCGCGTTGCCGACATTGAAACAAAGAACGGGTGCATCCGTCGCGCAATACAAAAGGTGGCGCCAATTCCAAAACCCGAATGAAGTTGATCTGTCAGTAGACACATCAAGGGCGCCGGCATGTTGTGTACTGGAATGCTTAATTAATATTATTACCATATGTAAACTAACTTTTGCTAAGTACTGTAGTTTTTACTTTTCTCTTCTACCTATTTTGTACAAATATGTATGTATGTAAATTTGTACAAACAACATTCGATTTAACTGGACTCGATGAAAACTACTAACGGCAGTGCTGAATTGAAAGTAAAGTAGTATATAAAAATGCAATTGAGTGCAAAGAGTTAGTTGTTACTTAGCCTTCAGACAGAATAAAACGCGTATATTAAATTCAAGCAAACTGGTGTTTCATTCAAACGCTCGAGGCGATTAGGATTCTTACGTACTTTGGGGTCGTGAAAACTATCACGTCCTAACAGTTATAAATAAATATAAATGTTATAGTAATTAAAATAATAAATGTACATTAGTTAAGAATTTTAATATGAAAATATAAAATTAAAACTTATTATTAACTGACTTCAAAAAGGAGGATGATTATCTATTTTTCGGAATATTTTATTTTATTTTATGTACATATATTACCGGGTAACTTTGGACCACGTGAACCGTTTACGATTATTCTTTTTTTTATAGGAAGGCGATACTTCAAGGGTGGTCCCATACTAATTTGGTTTAGTTGCGATCATCGTGTCATGAAGAAATTAACGGTATTCCTAAATTTTTTTATGAGCCTTGAAGGCGCTGGTATTTTTTGCTTAAAAATGTCTTGTTGTTGAACATCACTTTCCATCCTTTGTTTTTTTCTTGATATTCATAGATTTTGCAAACTCCGCCTGATCCTACGGGATTTTTGAATTGTGCTATTTGATAAGGATAGTTATTTTTTTAGTTTAATATATTTATCCTGCAAAGGAGTTTCAATACTTACTCCGAATTATTACATGGTTTCTTAAATTATAAAATTTGATTAACTGGTTAGGGTTTAGTACTTATGTTCAAATTACTTTAACTTACTTTTAATGTTTTGAAATATTCTTTAAAAAATTTTATTAAAGCGATGCCTCCTTCTATATATTTTTTTGAATGTTTTGTCCGAGAAAGGTTAGTGAAAAATTATAAAACAAATACATTATCGATGCCTTCAACGGATAGAAAAGCAAAAATAAAAACTTCCGTTTGAAATACGAGACTCTTAGGTGAGGCGGAGTTTTAGGGTAAGAGAAACTATCGTAAAACACGTAACATCAGGTGGGAATGTGAATGTTATATATACCGACTGCAGTATAGCATTTAACAAAGTATGTCACTCGTTGCTCATCTATAAACTTGATCTTCTTGGTCTTCAACATAATTTTCTACGTTGGATCTCTTCAAACCTCTATGATAGATCACAAAGGGTTATGTTTAAAAATACTCTTTCTGAGGATGGTTCCGTGCGCAGAAGTGGAAAACTTTTGACTGCCATTCACCTGGGAGTGGCCAGAAGCGATTCTTGTGCGTACGGTTCAAATCGCAGCTCACAACGTCCGGATATTTATATCCACGTATCCTCTGGGTAGCAACCAAACACCCGTTTGGGAGCGAGCTAAAGTGAGAAGGCGTAAAACTTCGCGTGCGCTGGGTTTGGGTCCCGC